TATTGACCATCGGCATCTTCGTGCGACTTTAATTAGCCGAGATATTAATTAAAAAACTGCTTTTTCCCCTACGTTTCCCTACGTTTTGCACTTTCTTTCACCCGTTTTCCCTGTTTTAGGGATTTGGCCGAGTGCCAAATTCGTTTTTCTCGAATAACTTGGGAACGGCGCCGAGTTGGAATTCGAAACGCATATCTCCGGATTCGAAAAAAATCAACAAATCCATCGATACCGGTCCCATCTTCGTACGACAATAATCCGCGGAGTTATTAATTAAAAACTGCGAAAACAATAATTTCGGCACTCAGTCTTCCGAGTGGCAACAGTCTCGGCAGTCGTCGGAGATAAAAATGCTATGGGAACGCCAAGGCCGTTCGCCACTAACAAACTAAGAATAAAAAATTAAAATAACTTAAAGGAATAAACTGAAAAGCTAAAATAAAACTAAAAATAGAAACATTCTCTTCATTTAGTTGTCGTTAGTTGAATGTAGATTGGTTTATGCCCTTGATAAGTCGAGTAAATGACGTCATAGATAAAATAAAAAGTTTTGTTTCCCGGTCTGGCAACAGATCAAATAGAATCAAAAGTTTAGTTTCCTGGTTTGGCAACAAAAAATTTATTTACGAATTTTGGATTTGGAAGGAGACCGTCGCAATTTTTTCCAGCATTTCAAATTTCGTAAATATTCTTATTATTACTCATTGCACTTAATCTTTATTTCTTTTTACAGGATATTTGATTGTTTTTTTGCATTTATATTTGTAGTTTTAGTAATTTAAAGTAGTATTTTAGACTTTTATATGCTCCTGTTAGTTTAGAACTTGAGAATTCTTCGGAACATTAACTTGGTGACTCTTTTTTATATATTTAATGTATTATTTTTGTATTTTTTTAAAGATCTATTCATTCGTGTTTTATATTTCTGTTATTGTTGCTCGATAAATTGCATTTACATTTTATATTTTTGACATTTTCCTGTGTGCGATAACAATTATCGTTTTAAGGCGATCGAATGTTCTATATTTTATTAGATTTGTTATTTTGTTAGGTTTGTTATTTGAATTTCAGAATTGATTTCAGAAGTTCCTAATTTATATTTGTATTTATACCTTTTATTTATTTTGTGTTTAGGTTTTCATTTTCTGTTTATGTGCATTGTTCTCAGATTGACCTAATTATTAGAAATATTTTCATAATTTTTATCTGTGCTTGGAATTTTTCATAATATTACCCATATTATTTCTTATTTGCCAGCAATTTTTTAACAGGGAAGTTTTTGTTTTACATTTTTGATTTTTTAAAATTAATTTGCTCTTAAGTGGAAAATTTTTCATTTAGTCTAGGATTATTTTAAAATTTGTGTTGTATACATATAGAATGCATTAATTTTTTTTTCCAGCAGTATTGGTTTAATGAGCAATTTTTTTCTTTCATCTGCGTAGTCAATTTTTTGAGTCGAGTTAATATTTTAGTAGTGCTTTTTTTAACGTACTGAAATGCCGAAACGGAAAAGAGGCATTACAGGAGATGCATCAAGAAGACGAAGAGCTGAAGCACAGAGTTTACGGCGAGCTGCAGAAAATGAAGAAGAAACTGCTGCGAGACTGAGCACGCAAGCGCGTCGGCAAGCAAACCTACGCGCTCAAGAAACGGAAGAAGAAACCGCTACGAGACTCGGCAGGAAAGCTCAACATCAAGAAAATTTACGTGCTGCAGAAACGGAACAAGAAACCATTAGGAGACTCAGCAGGCAATCCCAATGTCAAGAAAATTTGCGTGCTCAAGAAAGTGAAGAAGAAACCAGTAGGAGGCACAGACTGGACTCTCATCGTCATCGTCAAGTTCGAGCGGAAGAGTCGGAAGAGGACGCTGCTACACGAAGAACGCGAGACGCTGCACGCCACAGACAAGTCCTATCCGAAGAAACAAATGTCCGTACGAGAAGACAGGCTACGCATGAATGCAGCACAACGTTCACGCAGCACTCTTCACAATGCAGGAAGATGTGGACTCGAAGTTTATGTTGAGCAACACAGCGCCGGTTCAATGGAAGCTTCCTGCGATCTCTGCAACGGATTGTTCTTTACGGGAGAAAGGAATGCAAGAGGAAGATACATGCACTGCTGTAACAATGGGAAAATTGTCGAAGCTGAAAGAAGATATCCAGAAGAATGGCACAATTTAATGAATGGGAACCACCCGTTTTCTGAAGAGTTTTTTGCCAACATACGTACTACTTACAACTGCCTGCTCAGTTTTGCTTCATTGGGTGCCAATATAGAAATGCCTTCGGGTTCGGGTCCCTACTGCTTCAGGATTCACGGTGCCATATATCATCGAACGAGCCACCTTCATCCGCCTCATCCCGGTCAAGAACAGTATGCTCAGCTGTACATTTTAGATTCGGATCAAGCCCTCAGGCAGAGAATGAACATATTTGGAAATGTTGCCCTGAACGCCGAACTCCTGAGACAGTTGGACACAGTTTTAAGGAACGTTAATCCATATGCGGAAGCCTACAAGATGCTGAAGGAATTCGAAGAAGAAACTGTACGAGAGCAAGGTGCCGAAACTGCTGCGGATATCCGCATGTACATCAAGGGTGAAAGTGTTGCTGCTGCAGGCGAGCACAGGGGACGTTACAATGCTCCGAAAGAAAATGAAGTTGCAGTCGTCTTCAAGAGTACGGACGGCGCTCCTCCTCCATCGAACCGAGACATCGTGATCCATCCGAGAGGTGGCGGTCTCATCAACATCAGTACCTTAAATCCCAACTTGGAACCCATGACGTACGTACTTTTCTTTCCTCACGGCGAGCAAGGATTCAGAGTCGGACAGCAATACACAGAGTTACAGTTTTACAGTCACAGGGTGTCCGTACGACGAGATTGCTACAACCCGATTTTGTATGGCCGGAAATTGTTTCAGCAGTATCTCGTGGATGCATACGTAAAAGTTGAAGGCAACAGGATTGCGTACCTCCGGAGCCATCAGACGAATCTGAGAGTGGAAACTTACATGGGTCTTGCCGATCACATTTACAGAGTTGGTCAAGAGACGGGCGTCCGCCCTGGAATACCGGTTATACTTCCGTCAACGTTTATAGGAAGCCCTCGCTGCATGCAGCAAAACTATCAGGACTCGATGGCCATTGTGCGCGACTTTGGTAAACCGGATCTGTTTTTGACTTTCACGTGCAACCCTAAATGGCCGGAAATAACAGAAAACTTATTCCCAGGACAGAAGGCTCACGATCGCCCGGACATCGTTTCGAGGGTATTTGACCTGAAGAAAACGGCTTTGATGCAAGATTTGACAAAGAATCACATCTTAGGTGCGACCATTGCAGATATACACGTCATCGAATTTCAGAAGAGAGGATTGCCTCATATGCACCTTTTGTTGTTTTTAGCGGAAGAAGACAAAATAAGAGATGCAGAGTGCATCGACTCGCTGGTGTGTGCTGAACTTCCAGATGCTACTCGACATCCGGAGCTACACAACATTGTGAAGTCATCGATGATTCACGGACCCTGCGGTGAACTGAATAGAAACTCTCCCTGCATGAGTGATGGTGTATGTTCGAAAGGATTTCCGAAACCGTTTCAGGCAGAAACTAAAGAGAACGTGCTATCATTGCAGCCGAATCCGAAGAAAGTGAATGTCTTTCCAAGAGAGCTGCCGAAGAAAAATACCATGCTCAAACAAGGATGGTTTGAAAAAAGAATGAACAGGACAGTTTTCCCGAAGCGAATGGTTACCTGTATGCCGAAATTCCTAAACATTTCACCTGGAGGAATCACGCCTGGCAGACACGAGTTAGACTTGGAGATTACATCATTTCAAGAATGTATTCTGTTAGCCCGAAAGATGTTGAGCGTTTCCATCTGAGGTTGCTGCTGTGTCACGTTAAAGGAGCGAAGAGTTTTGCCGACTTAAGAACTTACGAAGGTGTGGAGTATTCAACGTTCAAGGAAGCCTGCCGTGCAAGGCATCTGCTGCAAGACGACGAAGAATGGAAAAATACTCTGGCAGAAGCATCGGCTTTTCAAATGCCACCGCAGCTAAGACAGCTTTTTTGCTTCATCTGTGTTTTCTTCTGCAACCCTGCGGAACCCGTCGCTTTGTGGAATGAATTCAAAGAGTCCCTTTCTGAAGATTTTGCGAGATCTTACTCCTTAGAAGACAGTTTCAGCAGCCTTGCACTGAGAAGTATAGAAGACCAGTTAGAAGTGCACAATGTTTCGCTATGTTCTCTTGGTCTCCCGCAACCAACATTGACTGATGCTGTTTCTCTCGAAGTCCCGCAGTTCGATGTCCAGTATGAAAACGAACAAGCCGAAGTGTTGAACGGGATGTTGAATCCTGAACAGAAATTAGTTTACGACTCGGTTTTGGAAGCTGTACGAGATGAGAATCCTAACACACCGAAGACATTTTGTGTTAATGCGTTTGCCGGAGCTGGAAAAACTTTCCTTTTTAGGACGATCCTTCATGCTGTTCGAGGAATGGGCCACGTTGCCATTCCCGTTGCGTGGACAGGTATTGCTGCTGTGCTGTTGACCGGTGGAAGAACTGTACACTCTACTTTCAAGTTGCCCGTTCCACTTCTGGAAAATTCTTCTTCGTGCCGTGTGAGACAAGATAGCGCTGAAGGAAGGTACTTGAAGACTGCGAAACTTTTTATATGGGATGAATGCACCATGACGCCTCATTACGCTTTGGAAGCTGTCGACAGATTGCTGAGAGAGACTTGACCGGACTGGATGTTCCTTTTGGCGGTAAAACCTTAGTTTTAGGAGGTGACTGGAGACAAACATTACCTGTTGTCGCACACGGAAACCGAACTTCTGCGATCGAGAGCTGCCTCAGGAATTCCTTTTTGTGGCCACATTTCAAACAATGCACGCTTTCCACCAATATGCGATTGAATCCGGAAGAACAAGAATTTTCAGAATGGCTTCTGCAGTTGGGAGACGGTCGTCTTAGAAAATGACAGTGGCTTGGACGAAGACATTATCGAAATTCCATCTTTGTGTGTGGTCAACAGATCGATAGTAGAAGAAATGTTTGGCTGCGGTAATGAATTCGACTTACAAGACTTGGCCAGTAAAGCGATTTTATGTCCAAAGAACGAGGAAGCTCTGAAGCTTAATGAAGAAATTCTTTCCACGTTTCCAGGTCAAGTTTTCACGCACTACAGTGCAGACTCGGTTATTTGCGATGACGAAGAAGAACAAGAAACGTATCAGCTGGATTTCATCCACAGCCTGACGCCTTCTGGAATGCCACCTCATCGTCTGAATTTGAAAGTTGGAGTTATAGTTATGCTTCTACGAAATCTACATCCATCGGTTGGACTCTGCAACGGAACAAGGCTCATTGTGAAGAGAATTATGCCAAACGTTTTAGATTGTGAAGTCATCTCTGGACAGAATGCTGGATCGAGAGTTTTCATTCCACGTGTTGAACTTTCACCATCAGATTCAAACCTCCCCTTTCAGCTCAAGCGAAGACAGTTTCCCATCAGGCTTGCATTTTGTATGACTATTAATAAGTCACAGGGACAGACGCTTAAGAAAGTTGGAATTTATTTACCGCAACCAGTTTTCAGTCACGGAATGCTTTATGTAGCTTTTTCAAGATGTTCGTCTATGAGGAATGTTCGTGTTTTAGTGAAAGACACCAAGAAGCAAGGCCGTTTGATACCCGCATGTTCTAAAGTATTCACAAGAAATATTGTTTACAGGGAGGTTCTGCAGTAAAAAAGTTACTCGAGACATTGAAACAGTGAGATTTTTGCAACACAAAATGAAGTTAATCAAGCCAAAGCAAAAATGAAAAAGATTTGAGGTTTTTGGATGACTGGGATAAATTGAAGCAAGTCAAGATGAAGCTGAAACAGTTTGAGAATGATGCATTAGTCGGCTTTTATGTCTGTTGTTACAAAGTGGAATTTTGGAGTAGTTAGGCAATCGGAAGCTGTATTATTTTTTCAATGTTGTAAATATTTTTTATAAATTTTCCTTTTCAGGTCTACATACAATTGCGTTAATTAATTTTAAAACATTTTATGTATTTTTCTTTTTTAGGTATGTATGGAAGTGATTTCAATCACATAAAAATATTTCTTTTTCAGGTGTATATAGAAATGATTTCATTCAAATTAAAATGTTTTTCTTTTCAGGTGTACATAGAACATGTAAATTTTTGTAAATAATTTTTCTTATTCATTGCTTGCATTTTTGTAAACACATACAAATATATATATATCTTAATTGTGCGTGTGTGTATATATGTATATACAATTGCATCAATATATATATATATATATATATATATATACATATTTATATATAGTGATGCAATTTTGTCTATGATTCTGTAACAGCAGACCAGGGAAGGGGCTGATACCTGGGAGAAAAAATAACCCCCTGGTCGATGAGGTTGCAGAGGAGACCCCAGGTGTCAGGCAGTTTATGCCGTCAAAAGCCCACCAATTTTTTCTTCTGTTTACATTTTTTTTTTTCTGTTCAAGTTTTTGTGTTTAATATAAACTTATAACTAAGAAATTATTATTATTATTATTATTTCTTTTCAGATAAATACGGATTGTAGCTCGCCCATCTGGCGTACTTACTCGGTAGATTTTAAAAATTATTTTCTGTTTTTCTTTGAACTATTGACGCAATAACTGATTTCATTCATATAAAATATTTTGTTTTGCATGATATTTAATATACTCAAGGGATAGGCCTGTAATGTCTTTCCCAAAGTTGTGTCTTTTATAGACATAGGTACAGTAAAATATTTTACGGGTTCACACGACTGACATTTTATGAAACGTTTGGAAAAGTTTCTGTGTGCTGCCCTACTGTGTTATCCAAAGAACAACAGTTGCAGTAGTTGATGATAATGTGTGTACAGCCCCAAATAATTGGAGACAAGGATATTTTGGAGTTTGTTCAAAGCTAAAAAAATATCATTGATGCAGATTCCGACAAAGAAAAACGAAATGAATAATGCAGTTCTTGTGGATGATTTTGTTTCATTGATTTTTTATTAAATACATGCCTATATGCATATCTGTGCAAATAAAATGTACTCTAATAAACTTAATTTTGTTGAAAATATGTTTTTTTTTTTTTTTTTTTTTTTTTTTTTTTTTTTTTTTTTTTTTTTTTTTTTTTTTCAATATCCTTTAACACGAAAAAATTCTTCAGTCCCTTCGGTTTCGTGTTAATAATAATGAAAGTGAGAAAAACAATTTTAATCATAGATTTAAAATTATTTTTCTGTTTTTTGATTTAAATACAAAATATTTCCACAAATTTCACACAGAAACTATTTTAGACACCAGCAAAGAATTGAGTGGGTGCAGCCCACCCATCTGCAATACTTACTCGGTAGATTTTAAAAATTATTTTCTGTTATTTATTTTGAATGCGATAAAAACAGGCGACTAACTAATTTGGTTTATATGTATGTACATATATATTTTCAAATGTATATACAGGGGATATTGGACACATACAACACTATTGACACAATATGAGCTATATCCACACAATGATGGAACAAGGTGTGCAGCAGATGCAAGACATGGGCATGATTCACATGATATTTGATATACTCGAGGGATAGGACTGTAATGAGCAAATGAGTTTGTTCCACAAAGTTGCGTCTTTTACAAACACCCAACATTCGAATCCCAGTGAACGGGGTGGCTGCATGGGTGTTTTTGTTATTTTCCCCATGCGTATACGAGCCACTTTCCTTTAAAAAGCCGACAAGAAGGCATCCCTCCCCTTAGGCAGATTGCACTCGAGTGCTTTGCCGTAGCTGAATACGTTACACCACTACTTTACACACGGAAGTAAAAATGACGCTTCCTGTGGTCGTTACCTAATTATTCAAAATATTTTGATAATTGTTATCTGTTCTTAGAATTTCCATAGCATTGCACATATTATTATTTAACATTCTGTTATTTACCAGCAATTTTACAATCTGCAAGTTTTGGTTTTACAATTTTTGATTTTTTAAAATTAAAACCTTCTTATACAATTTGCAAACGAGTTCATAGCCAAACATTCCCTTTCATATTACATCTGAAGAACTGTTGTAGCATTATGCAACAAACATTTCGCTGTTCATTAAAATATAGGAACACTTTTCAATCAACATTTTGATTAGAATTTGATGTAGATTGAAAAGTTGTTTTCAACTCAGCTGCCTTTACACACTCGCAGTTGTATTCACAATTGATTTTCACGCTGGACTTTCATCATTTGTCATATCCGCTAAAGGAGATTTATTTTTTAAGTGTCAGCAATTTTTTCTGCGGTAACAGCATCTACAAATGACCATCTGCCATGAATATTCTTCACACATGCACGAGTTTTTTATTTTAGAACCGCTGATGCTTTGGGTTTATGATACTACTTGCTAATAGTATGCATTATGATAGCATACGTAAAAACGAAAAAAATTTACCAGTATAATCAAAATAGAACAAATTCACGACTAAAATATTATCAAGAGTCTTAGAAGACCCTTCGAAGAACATTTTTAGAAGGTAAACAAAGATAACTGACGAAAACCCTCGAAAACCCACGCTTGAAAAATGTAAACAAACGCCGCCGAAAGCAGTTACAGTTACGACTAAGATCAAAGGTTTGCTCGCAGTTAAAAGTATTACTTCCGAGAATGAGAAAAATTGTAAAATAATGCTTTTAAATGTTTTCTACAATTTTACAGGCATTTAAATGCCAGTATATATTTACTGTTATGAAACATAATTACAAAGAGATGTTAAGTATAAAATTTATAGACAGAAGTTGGAGTTTACCAAAAAGAATTTAAATAAAGGAATTTTAACAACGAGTATACTGTTGGAATATCACGCCCGAAAATTTTCGCGATTACACTTCGTACAAGCGGCTAAGCTGTTAATTCGCTGAACACTGGTAGTTCGGTCAAACTTTCTAATCCCGGCGAGCGGGCTGGCTGCATGTGTGTTTTCGTGATTTTCCGCATGGAGAAAATACTGCATGCATACTTTAATAAAGCGGGCGCAGCAAACGTAAAATCGCTGTACACTGTTAGTTCGGTTCAACTTTCGAATACCACGAAGGCATCCGTCCCCTGAAGTAATGGGCTTCAGCCCGCTCAGCTGGCGGGCTTGCCCGCTAGTCTATACTATTAAAATCTGTGTGCCTCTGTCTGTTTGTGTGTTTGTAACATCATCTCCTCGGGAACGGCTGGGTGTAGAGCTTAGCGGAAGGTACCGTTGGATTCAGAATGCCCGTGGCTCGCCATATTGACCATCGGCATCTTCGTGCGACTTTAATTAGCCGAGATATTAATTAAAAACTGATTTTTCCCCTACGTTTCCCTACGTTTTGCACTTTCTTTCACGGTTTCCCTGTTTTAGGGATTTGGCCGAGTGCCAAATTCGTTTTTTTCGTTTTTTCTCGAATATCTCCGGAACGGCTCCGAGTTGCGATTCGAAACGCATATCCCCGTATTCGAAAAAAATCAACGAATCCATCGATACCGGTCCCATCTTCGTGCGACAATAATCGGCGGAGTTATTAATTAAAAACTGCGAAAACGTTATTTCATTTTTTGGAGTGGCAACATTCTCGGAATTAGCTGAGTTAAAATTGCTTTATCCAAAGCGCCGGGGGGAGAATTGCTTCCGCTCGAGATTTGTGCTGGGGAAAAGGTCACGTGTCAATTTCGTTTTTCTTAAATATCTATAGAATGGCTCTGAGTTGGAATTCGAGAATGGTATCTCCGGATTCTAAAACATTCTGGGAATGCATTGATACCATTCTCATCTTCGTACGACGTTAATCAGCTGAGATATTAATTAAAAACTATGAATCGCTAATTTTCGCGCTCCTTTTTCCGAGTGGCTACAGTTTCTTGAATCCCCGGAGATAAAAAATCAAGGTTATATTCTGAAGTTGAATAAAGCACGCGATTGCATGTTACCTCACTGTATGTTAAAACTATTTCGTTAATGTAGATATTTTAAATACACAGCTGCTTTTTGCAATTTTTTAATTTTAGGTTAGATAATTTCTACGATATGTTATTGCCACGTTAATTCTTTAATTGATGTTGAGTAAAAGTTGTTATATTACATTAAATTTAAATTGGTTTATCCCATTGGTAAGTGAATTAAACTGCAACCAATGACAATAGCTACATTTTTTTTTCAACATTTAGAATTTACCTTTGATTTTTTTTTTCAGATTAAAGATTTTTTATGCCGATATGTAAACAAGAAGTTGAAATTACTATTTAAAATATTAATTTAAAGTTTGATCAAACATTTTTTTCTTTTAATGTTTTAAATTGAATATGTGATCCTTGCACATGGTATATGGAAAGTTTTCTTATTATAAATAATTATGAATTATTAATTACATTAATAACATATATACTGATACAATTTTGTGTGTGATTATGTTGAAATTTATTTAAAAAAAGGAATTTTAATAACGAATCTATTCTTTGAATAACAAATGCGAATATTTTTGCGATTACTCTTTCTGCAACGGCCCATTAGTGGCTGAGTTGTAAAGACACTGAACACTGGTAGTTCGGTCCAACTTTCGAATTCAGGCGAGCAGGCAGGCTATGCGGGTGTTTTTGTGATTTTACGCATGTGTATCGTTTATGCAGTGTCTTCTGGATGCATAAATGAATAAAGCGGGCGCAGGAATCGCAAGAAAGCTGAACACTGGTAGTTCGCTCGAACTTACGAGTCCTGGCGAGCAGGCTGTCTGCATGGGTGTTTTCGCGATTTTCCACATGTGTATCGTGTATGCAGTGGATGCTTCTGGATGAATATGTGAATAAAGCGGGCTCGCGCAAAACCGATTAACACCGGAGTTCGTCCAGCTATCGATCTCGGTGTACGGGCTGGCTCCATAGGTGTTTTCTTGATCTTACGCATGTTATCATTTATGCAGTATCTCCTCCATGAATATGTTAACAAAGCGGGGCGGGCGCAGCCCGCGCAAGAAAGCTGAATACTGGTAGTTTCGGTCCAACTTACAAGTCCTGGCGAGCAGGCTGGCTGCAG